CCGTTAGCAGCAGGTGTATCCTATCACGACATTCACCATTACACCGTCCTCTACCTGGTGGTTGTAACGGCTGGAGTGCTCGGAGCATTCTACGTGTGGCAGCGCGTGCGGCGCGCGCGGAGGCGTGCAGGTCGCGATCGCGTACAAAATAAGTGTAGTGAAGTGCAGTGTAATAGTGAAGTGCAGTGTAATAGTGAAGTGCAATTTGTAGATGTAGAGTTGTAAACAAGTGCAGTGCAGTGTATCAGTAATGACATTACGCGTGCTCGCGGTATTATTTCCCATCTATCATTAAATTAGATTTAGTTGGTTCTATCAATAAACTATCAATTATCAACTTCCCAGTATTGACTATCATTTACTATCAACCGACCACGTGGGGGTCCCGACGCAGCCCATACACCCGGGTTATTCGCGTTCTGTTATATAGCGTAAAGCGAGCGTTAACCATTTAAGCTACCATGGCTGCTCGTATGCTACACGCTAAGTTACATATGGGATTTAATAAATTCAAAGTCAAGCAACTCATGCTGGTAAATAATACTTGAACAAAAACCAATAAGCGGATACACATGCGGTTATCAAAATGATGATGGGAACAAATTGGTAATTTAATTAAAAACATTTTTTGAATCTATAGGTTTGACGTAGGAATGATGATTTGGAATTAAGGAAACGCCCTAAATTCAATTTTAGTATGAATTTGGGGAAGTTCACCTCTATCTTCCTGCCAAAAATGTACGCCATACATTGTGCGGAAATCAGTCTGCAAAACTACATCAACCATATTATAATACGGTATGTATTACATAAATTTTGATAGTTAAGCAGCACTGCTATATTTGAAATCAATCTTAGTGACCTCTAAGCTAGCTCACAGTAGCTTTGACGGCGTGATCCATTTAAACTCTCTAGGGTGTAACAACAGGGTTGTTTTCAGACAGGTTCCGTGTCATGCGGCAAGCTTACACGGGATGAGTCAAAGAGTACAACAATTTAGTCTCAAGCTATTTTGTGGAAACTCTAAAAGCCTGGCCTGATTGACCATTGAAACTTTTTACCATAATAAATTACTAGAGATTTGGTTTGATACATCAGGCTCAAAACATTCCAAAACCTTAATCCGGGCATATGATCGTATATTCGCTTCGGGTATGTTCCAATTCTGTTTCCTACCAAAGAAGCACCTCGGCACATCCTAATTGCGGATGTTTAGTGCGCAAACGTAACACTCACCTGGGAAACTACGACTTGAGACTAACAAAAAAAAAAAAAATTGAAATTTCTCACAACTAAGTAACTCCTTCAATCAATTGAAGATGTAGGACTATGCAGTAAACTATAGCCATAGCAGATGTCACAGTGTAAGTAGTTAAAGGGAATATTACTAATGTTATTGCTAGTACTTTATGAAATTAAAAAAAAAAACAGTAAAAGCATGGTTGTATCCTCGCTGCTGTATCCTGCTGTCTTAATGGCACATCTGTGGTACAGATGTCGGTATTCACGTATTAATAAGATGAATCTTAAGGTGGCGATACTACATTCGCTATGTTTAATTTATTACTTGTATTATGTTTAGCTAACGTGCTGACCACTTTTCACCCAATTTAGAAGCAAATATTTTTGAAAAAGTTGGCACTTTAATGTAATATATTACCGTTAATTGGAGTAATAATAGGTCCTTACATATGAAAATGGCGTTTTGTACGGGTGGAATATAAAGTATTTTTTTTTGTAAAATATATTTAATTAATCAAAGTATGCACCGTTGTCATCTATGCACTTTTGCCATCTCATAGGTAGGTGCTAAAAAGCAATCCCTTTACTAAAAAACCATGGGGGCAAGAATCAATAAACTCTTTGAAAAAATTCAACTCCAATACGGCAGTCCAAACCGACTGCCGCATTGGAGTTGAATTTTTTCCTTGTAAGAAGTTGTCCAAATTCCGGAAAAAATGGTAATCTGTGGGAGCAAGGTGAGTACGGTGGATGTCGCAGACCTTTCAATTGTAGCTCATCTAACTTAGTGGTTATTTGTTGTGCAGTGTGTGGTCTTGCGTTATCGTGAAGCAGCAGTGGCCTAGAGCGATTGATCAATCTCGGTTGTTTAGCAGCTAGTTCTTCCTTCATGGTTTCAGTTACTGACAATAGACATCTGCCGTAATCACTTGGCCAGATTTTAGAAAGCTGTAGTGAACGACACCGGCGCTAGTCCACCAAACACTCACAAGTAACTTTTTCTGAGTCAATTTTCGTGTAGGGCAGGATTTGGTTGAGTCTCCAGGGCTCAGCCATTGCAACGAGCACTTTCGATTTTCTTACAGTATCTAATTTTTATCACAAGTAATGATTCGATTTAAAATTCCTTCATTTTTGTGTCGTTTGAGCAAAGTAACACAGCAGTCGACGCATGTTTGCAAGTTCTATTCAATCAATTCGTGAGGTACCCAACGTTCAAGTTTTTTTACTTCCCCGATTTGCTTCAAGTGGATTAATACAGTTATATCACTTATCCCGTTGCCTGCAGCTATCTCTAAAGTGCTTTGTGATGGATCCGCTTCCACAATAGCCTTTAATACTTTATTTTTCACTTTGATCTCCCGCCGTCCACGGGGTTGGTTCTGAAGGTTAAAATTTCCAGAACGAAAACGTCGAAACCAAAAACGTACCGTGATTTCTTTTGCGACACCAGCGCTGTACACATCATTAATCCTTCGAGCTGTTTCTGCAGCACTGGTGCCACTGTAGAACTCGTACTCGTAAATATACTGATATTTCATGTTTTCCATTGTGCGGTAATAAGCGACGCCAAAGAAAAAAATAATGAGGAAAAAACAAATGAATGAATGTTTTCAAAACTCAAATGTACATCACATATATAAATGAATTTCTAAATTTGAATTTGGGAATGTTAACCAAAGAGGAGATAAGTATTTCAGATCAATGTGGTCAGTACGACAAAACGCTAATTTCATATGTAAGGACCCAATATTAACAGAACTCGTAACTTCATAAATAAAGATCTATCGATAAGTATATACGTTCAGTGAGAACATGCGATTTGAAATGTGGTTACGTCTTATTAGGAATTCTTTTTCCATATCACCTATCTCCCGTTACAGAAAGATTGCCATAATTCGTTTGGCAGCTAGATTTGCGATAGCATAGCAGACGTCTTGCAATTTTTAATGCAAATTGTACGTGCCGATTCAGATATTTATACATCTGATTCGGCGCGTACAAGCTTTCGGTGGTCATGAGGCTATTTTTTCGCCTTTTTCTATAATTGTTTCTTAGTACGAACTTAAATTACAATGGCAATCGCTATAACAGTCTGACGTAAAACCTAGAAACTGAAAAATAATTAATTTTAGTAAACGAATTTTGGCGAATAACTGACTTTAAGTATGGCTATGTGTGTGGCTGCAAGTCTGAGGAAGAAGAGAAAAAAAAACTTCGATGACATGTGAAGTTCGCCAACACGTATTGGAGCAGCGCGGCGAACACTTCCTTGCCCTAAAACCCTCTCAGAAATGAGGGGAGGCCTGTGCCCAGCAGTGGGACGTATATAGGCTGTAACTTTACTTTACTTTTTATGTATGACCAAGAAGCGCACAGTTGAGCTACAGGTGGTACAGATCGTTGCAATCGGTTATCAATTAAATAATATTTTAGCTTTTGGTACATCCTTATACATCATATATATGGATCGCTATTCACTAGGACTACGATGGAATGCCACATTAGCACAATCTGCTTATTTACTTTACAAAACGCATTTTAATCTTTATGCAATTACTGCAAATTTGTCCACTGACTAATAATACAGATGGATAGAAAAAAAAATGATACTTTACTTTAACTTCATTATTTTCCTTATGACAAATCAAATGATTAGGCACCTCATTCCTTGCTTCAAAAATTGTAAAAGGTTATTTTAAATATATCTAAGCACTTCGTAAATACTTAAAAAGGAATTTTAATTAGGTATCGCTTCATCGTATGGATAATATGTTACTTCTCCGCTAATTTTGATAGCAATAAAGTTAATTAGGTGCTAATTAACCCATTAAACTCTCTGTCCATTATGTTATGCATTTGGTTTTTATATATTACTAGCTTTCGCCTGCAGATGCACTCGCTTGAAGCTTGGAAATAATATTTATGTTTGTTATATGACCCTACACAGAATTTGATAATTTTAAGAAAATTCAATCTGCAGTTTTCCAATGAAGAGGTTATTACCAAATTACGCTCCGGATATATCTTATGGGAACCATTCATTTTCCGGAATTAAAGGAAGCCAATGTCAGTCATCCGCCCATAAACTTTCCTTTGCTCCGCTACTACGTGAAATAAGAACAAACCAACAAACACGTATTTTTAATATCAGTAGAAACATAGGGCATAATGAGATTTTCTTTGAAATAAGAAAAGTACTTTAAATGCATATCGGCATTTACGATAATCAATGAAATAAGATTATAGCATCTAATTTTGGACATTGGAGTTTCCGCAAGGTAACCAACTAAGCCCTACGTGCCTCCTTATTTTTGGTAATGAAATATTTTAATATATTTTATTAGGTTTCTCATTTTTCAATTTATTTTGAAATTTTTTTGCATTTGATTTTACATATTGTTTTAATATAAATCTGTCTATAGCATTTGATTTCATTATTTTAAGAAAAAAAATTTGGTTGTCATCAGTTGCTAGCCGGGTCAAGGTAGCTAAATACGACGGATAGGTCGTAAGAAGACTTGTTTTGGTTTGCATGTCTCAAATGTATAGGTGTGTGATATTATTTGCATGATCATAAATGTGCACCTCTGAAGAAAGTGACCGGTTACTTTTACTTTTCAAACACAGTTCGTGAACATGATCGACAGACTGAAATATTTTTATATTGCACTTTTGATTTTATTTATTTAAAATTTAGACCATCCTGTAGAGTAATATTCCACTGTGTTAAAAAAAGTTTGTTGTTATTAACTCACCAGCAAAATCCAAATGGCACAACTATATAACCACGCCATCATTGCTTAATTATTGTTTATACTAAGACATGTCCCGGCACTTATTTCCATATTACACTGCACATGATGAGCAATGAACACCAATATTTATGCGGCAAAATTGCATGACTGTTGCAGCGACATTTGGTGTTTTTTTCTTTACCGTATGGTTACGAGCAGCATTACAAAAACAATGTCACTATCACACACGTAACTCATACAGCGGTCGATCGCCAACTGACCACAGCAATAGCCGGTGTGACGTCACACATAACAGCAGTTTCCATTTTAACAAGACCTACTTATTTATTTGTACTAGCAGCGTAAACCTCTATGTTTGATACAAGAACAAGGGTCAGGGAAGACCTTGTCTTAATGGTTGCTCCATACGACATTATAATGTCATATATTTTAACGTCTCTTAAGTTTTTCAAGTTCATAGTTCAATCTTTGTTTAAGATTAAGAGTTGGCAATTGTAGACAAAAACGAGCGGAGCGTTGATTTGATATCGACTATTCAATTCAATTCAACTCAATTTATTTGCTATCATCTGCTCTTAATTATAAAAAAATATTCCAAAATAAGAACCCTGCAATTGGTAATCATTAATATTATTATTACATTTATATTATGGTATTATTAATTAAATTATCATTTTTTTAAATATTAGTAATCCTATTAATTAACATTACTAATATTCCCTTTAACCACTCCTGGTAAGCTGAAAATGCTTGTGTTAGGAGTGGTTCACGACAGTAGTCGAATGGTGGATTCAAACCCGCGACCTTTTGAGTTCGCGATCCGCGCCCTGCCACTAGGCTACTGTCACTTCATTAAATAAAAAAATAAAAAAAAATTAAAGAATATTTACAATTATCTTAAATATTAACGATATTCATACCATATTGATCATACTATATTATTTATTTCTATTTCCTATTCAATCGCTAAAAAACTCCTGCAACGAGTAATAACATTTTTTCGTTAAATATGTATTAACTTCCTTTTTGAACTTTTTTAGGCTTTTAATGCTTTTAATACATTCTGGTATTTTATTATATATTTTTATTGACATTGCAAAGAGGCCAGTGTTTGCGATATGTAATTTTGATGTAGCTGTGGATAGTTAAATTAAAATTATTATATTAAAATTTTATGGCAAAAATATTGAGGGAACCATTCGATATTATTGTTAACTAGTGAGCATATTTCTGAGATATATAGATACCTATGTTAATGTTAGGATATAATAATTAATAAAGTAATTTCTACAGCTTGTCATTGAATTAATATTTGCAAGTATGCGAATACATTTTTTCTGAATGAGAAATACTTTATCAGCGTTTGTGCTGTTACCCCAAGGTACCACACCGTAGCGTAGCCAGGCGTCTGTATGCGTAGTAGGCACAGGTTGCTGTTTTTAAGTCTGGTTTTTTTGAAGTTCTATAAGAGCGTTTGTAAAACTGGATAACTTTTTGACAACTTTATTGATGTGTTCCTTCCAATTTAAATGTACATTTATAGCCAGGAGACAGTAAGGGTTAACAGATTCTGAGGGAATATTTTGGTATTGGTAGTTGATATGTAAGGGGCGTTTTTGGTATGGTCTAAATTGCAAGAGTTTGGTCTTCTTAAAATTGATCTCGAGGTTGTGATCTTTAAGCCAGCCATTTATTACATTTAAATTACAGGTTAGGAGATAGTGTAATTCTGTGCTGTTGGGACAGGGAAGAATTAATGAATCGGTTACGCTAAGTTGACTTAGTATTGCCGTTAATGATATGAAAAATGAATATCTTATTTATTTATTGCCTGTTATAATTATTATAGGTTATCGGTTAACGACACCTACATTTATTTATAAATCCACATATCTGTTTGCACTAAAATAAATATAAAAATATACTTAAAGCTGATAAACCACGCACGCACGCACGCACGCACGCACGCACGCACGCACTTACGCACCCACACGCACACGCACACGCACACGCACACACACACACACACACACACACACACACATATATATATATATATATATATATATATATATATATATATATATATTCTACACTGAGAAATAAGCGTTACTTACAAGTTAAAAGGTTGAACGTAGGTTTGTGTTACTCTATAAGAATGTGTAAATTCTCGTTTCGATAGAATCTTTTTTTCTTATTTAATCTGCTAAATAACTTAAAAATGGCGACAGTCACTTTAAAGTTAATAGGATTTCTTTACCGATATTTTTGATAATACCTACTACGAAAATGCGTCTTTTGTTTACCTTTATCCATAAAACATCCATAATTTATGTGCCTAAATTGTAGGAAAGCTATGAAGATATATTATATTTATACGATCTCTATAAAACTATAGAGTTTTATACAAACGATTCGGTAACAAGTACTGGTTTTTTAATGACTTTTAGGGTCAAATGATGATTCGTTCGTTTATCGGCGATCACGCGTTATTATAAATTGCTTTAGTGGTGCATTACTTAGATATCGAGTTTATATTGCCGCATTTATCTTAAGTACCATTAGTAAAATTAATATAGCAATAACTGGTCTATAGACCCTGATGCGAGAGCGGCAACACAAACGCATTTCTGACATATGTGTTTTGTGCCAGGCTGTGTTGGGATACTAGTGTGCTAATTTGCCCATTTGTAAGCGAAAGACTGGAACTATACCTTATCGTGATCGTTCCAACCTGCATATTTATTTATTGAATATGGTTATGGTTAATTTAAAAACGCGATTCTCTAACTCACCATACGAAACACAGCATTAAGTTTTAAATTGCAATTTCGTGCTGCTATTCGATGATAGCTTGTTCTTTCCTCGGTCGAGCTGACCTATTCATGCTACAACCATAACCAAGCTGCAACGTGCATTTATTACGTTTGAAAAGTTAAATCGTAGATTATAAAAAGGGGATGTCATTTTTATAGCATTGGGTTAAAAACGAGCACACGGTCTACCTGATGGTAAATGGATGCTGTGGCCCATAGACATCCACATTTATCCTCAATTAAGAATCAAAATGCAAATATTATGTTGTCACCCCTGACGACTAAGATGGAATGCCTCGATTCCAGTAAAAAGGATCTCCTGTTCTCTACACTCACCATACGAAATATAGCAGCATTACGCTGATATTTTACGCTGGTATTCTGTGACAACGTGGTTCTGCACCGGTCGAGCCGACCCATTCATGCTACAACTATAGTATAGCAGGAGCGTGGCTCTACTACGTGAACAATATTTGTGATATTATTTTATAAAACACTGTACCAGCCTTTCGCAAGTTGCTTATGATGAAATCCACGCAATGGGTGCGTTTGGCAAAAAAAAGCGCTAGCAAGCGCTTGTAAGCAAAATGGCGATCGTAAGCGGTAAGCGCTGTCAAATCGTAAGTAGCTATTTTCCTCCAGGACACGATGTTAGTTTTAACCGGGGAACCTAACCTAATTTAAATATATTTTAGTAAAGTATTCATATTAAAAACTTACCAATCATGAATTTTTAATAACATGTATATGTTTATTCTTGTCATTATATTACTTAAAACTAATATTGCACAAAACAACTTATAAACTCTACTTCAAAACAAACAAATTAAATAAGCAAAATGGCGGATTGTGTCAGCGCTACTGAAGTAGGAATCGTGTCCTGGCCGAAAACTATTTCAGCGCTTGTATGCGCTTGCTAGCGTTTTTTTCTGCCAACCGCACCCAATGTGACGGGACGCTGAATTCTGTGAAAACGATTATTAATTTTTATTAATTTGCTTTCGTGTATGATGAGCTAGAAATGTGATATTTTAACATATCTTAGACTTTTTTTAATTTTTTTAAAAAGAATATTAACAATGTTATAAAAATTACTAATATTCCCCTTAACCACTCGTGGTAAGCTTAAATTGCTTGTGTTACGAGTGGTTCACGCCAGTAGTCGAATGGCGGATTCGAACCCACGACCTTTTTTAGTTCGCGGTCCGCGCCCTGTAATTGGATGAAGATGTAACATTATGAAGAAAAAAATTTGGTATGTTAATAAAAATAATAACAAAAATTCTATTGTTCCATTATTTATTAATTGTCCTACATGAGTTTCATATAGAGCAGTGAAAGCGTAAAGGAATTGTCACTTCATCCTTCCTATGAGTAAAAGGTAATTAACGGAAATCCCTGAAGTATCTAGTGCTTTGCGACAGACGCGGAATTTCCAACTCGGGTTTAAATGGTCGGTGACGATGAGCATAAACGGATACCGACTGACGTGCGTAGTGCCTCGCAATACAATCGACAATACGCACTTCGTTAATTTTTTAATTCCGCAATAGTACCCATAGAGAATTTTAGCCTTTTTAAGTCCACTATTGGTTATTGACATTTACAAGGATGTGTATGTGGCATGCACAGGTTGTTACTATGCTATATATGATATTAATATCTATAAAAATACATAAATGCATTTATCACACGTAATATTGCTTTGTTTACGAGTGCATATCAAAAGCAATAAATGAATCGTGCATAAACTGAATTAATTAGTGATGCGATAATTAGTTGACATCATTATTATCAATTAACGAAGTGTCTTTTTTACAACTATCTTATTTATAATCATCATCATCATTACAGCCCTCCACAAGTCTACTGCTGAAAATAGGCCTACATAGGAATGGCACAGAGCACGGTCCTGAGACACCTGCATCCATCGACTTCCTGCATGTCTTACCAAGTCGTCACTCCATAATATTTATACAAAATCATTATTTGTTTTTTAATATAAATAATGCTAAATCTTTTTTTTTTCAGACTTGATGACTTTAAAAAAAATGAATAGTCTTGGTTAGAATGTTAGTTTGAGTAGACATGTAAGAATATTGATTTATATATTACACAACTCAATATGTAAGAATTGTTAAATTTCATGGTCTTCTTTAATTGTAAGTGGTGATTTCAGTGCGTGTGGAATGGAATGTGGGTAGGATGGAGGAGGGCACTAGCTAG